CAAATATACTCTATGTTGTACATTACATACCCCTGCCCACTCCCGTTTTTTAATCATTTTTTGTTGTACATTACATACCCCTGACCCCTGCAAAAATTTACCTGTTTTTTACATTACATACTTCGCCCCCGCACTGTATCCCTCTATTTTGTACATTACATCCTCTTAAACCCCTTTTACTAAATACTCTAATTGTACATTACATCCTCCAGACCCCTGCACTATATACTCTATGTTGTACAGTTACATACTCCTGACCCCTGCATTATATACTCCATGATGTACATTACATACTCCTGACCCCTGCACTATCTACACCTATGTTGTACATTACATACTCCTGACCCCTTCACTATATACTCTATGTTTTACATTAACAGACGTCCTGACCCTGCACGATAAACTATAAAAGCTTGTACCTTACATACTCCTGACCCCTGCACTATATACTATCTTTATGTTTGTACATTACCTTACTCCTGACCCCTGCACTATATACTCTATGTTGTACATTACATACTCCTGACCTCCTGCACTATTATACTCTATGTTGTACATTACATACCTCCTGGGACCCCTGCACTATATACTCCATGTTGTACATTACATACTCCTGACCCCTGCACTATATACTCTAATGTTTGTACATTACATACTCCTGACCCCTGCACTATATACTCTATGTTGTACATTACATACTCCCTGACCCTGCCGTCAACCCCACTATATATACGCATAATATGTTGTACATTACACATACTCCTGACCCCCCGCTGAGATACTATACTCGTATGTTGTACATTACATAGACTCTTGACCCCTGCACTGATATACTCAAACTGTTGAACATCCTCAACTTTGGGACCCCTGCTGTACTATACTCTATGTTGTACATTACATACCCCCCCTTGACACCCAATGCCTATATTACTACTATGTTGTACATTACTTTGATGACCTGAACCTACAACTTTACAACCCATGTTGTACACCATACTCCTGACCAACTGTTGCAGCGGTCATAACATCCTGACCCATATGATAATTTATATCAGTTTTTTCTACAAATATACTCCTGACCCCATGTGGTATTTACTCGGCTATGGGTTGCGCATTACTTACTCTGACCGCTGCACTTAGACTGGGGCTACCCGATGTTGTACATTTTACTCCTGACCCCTGCACTAATACTTATGTTGTACATTACATACTTCCAGGTACCCCTGCTCTTCATGACTTTGCGTTGTGAAGGCATTACTATCCTGCCTGGAATGGGTCACTGATACAGCACTAAAGTTGCCACATGATACATACTACCTGAAGGTGGCACGTAGACTATACTCTATGACAGTACTAATTAGGGGTCACATAGGCTCCTGATAGGCTGGGCACTGATATGACACTGATGTTGTGGTACATTACATACTCCTGCAACTGCACTGGGCTACTAGTTGTGGGTGCACCGCTGATCGGAACTTGACGGGGGTCACTGCTTGGGCACCTTATCATCAGGGCTGTCTAGTTTCAATCATCGAGTTTGTCCTGATGATCGGTGCCGATCCTCTATGCTTGACACAGACTGCCGTTCTCGGCAGTAACTTTCCTCACGATCTGACAGCGTGAGGAAAGTGCAGCCGAGAATAACCGGCACTTGCATTTTCCTGTGATCAGCGTGTCATTGGACACCGCTGATCACGTGGTAAAAGGCCGGTGGGATCGGCCTTTCACCACATCTCGTGATCAGCTTGTGTCCGTAGGACACAGCGATCACGGAGATCGCATGTGGGTGCGCGCCCCCTGGGGCGCGCAGGAGAGTGCGTTCTGGGAGGATGTCATATGACGTCCACTCAGAAACTGGCCGGGTCCGCGGTGAAGCCGTCTTTCGGCTATGCGCGGTCGGCTCGGCAAGTGGTTAAACAGAAAGTGATAATGAGGGAGGAGTCAATACCCCAATGATGGTGGTCTTCAGGATCAGTCCAGTCTTCATCTTGGTTGTTCTCCCCCCATCCTCCTCTCTGACCTCTGGTGGGGCTCAGCCCCGCTGTTCTTCATGACTAAATCATGGACTAAATAAGGAAGTGCAGTACTTCTTGTGTGTGGGAAGATGGCGATGAGTGATAGAGGGGGTGGGGACCCTCGTCCTATAATCCCCTCATCACTGTCCCCTCCTATAAAAGACAGTTCTGGTTGTTTCCTCACTCTCTGACTAAGGTCCATGAATAAAGAAATGACCTGGTAGAGATCAGAGGAGCCATTTCCTAGTTCCCTTGAGGGTGGAATTGTAAGCTCCTCAGAGACCAAGCTGCCTGATGTGGGAGGAGTCCTGGTTTGGGGGAACCAATCAGCTCCTGTCTAGTAATCCTCTTTGTCTTTGTATTTTAGTCCATGGCCGGGAGATAAGGAAAACCTCCGAGGATTGTCTCACTTTGTCTCCAGACTGGAAAGTAAAGATGAGGACATCACACAGTATAGTCCAGGAGAAAACCCGGCTCCCTCCAATGTCCATCCGGCACCACCCAGTGTAGATGGACCATCGGATTCCTCGTATTCTGAGGAACCTCAGACTGTGCGGGACCAGTCCGGCCTTCCAACAGGGAAGAGATTCTCCTGTACTGAGTGCGGGAAGGGTTTCTGTTCTAAATCCAAACTTAACGTGCATAAAAGATCTCACACGGGGGAGAAGCCATATTCCTGTCCTGAGTGCGGGAAATGTTTCCAATCTAAATACAATCTTAATGTGCATAAAAGATCTCACACAGGGGGGAGTGCCATATTCCTGTCCTGAGTGCGGGAAATGTTTCAATCTAAATATGGGTGCATAGAAGATCTCACACGGGGGAGAAGCCGTATTCCTGTCCTGAGTGCGGGAAATATTTTTCACGAAAGTCTCATCTTTACTCACATCAGAGATCTCACACAGGGGAGAAGCCGTATTCCTGTCCTGACTGTGAGAAATGTTTTTCCCAGAAGTCTAAAGTTTACAGACATCAAAGATCTCACACTGGGGAGAAGCCATATTCTTGTCCTGAGTGCGGAAAATGTTTTTCAGACAAGTTTAGTCTTCACACACATCAGAGATCTCACACGGGGGAGAAGCCGTATTCCTGTCCTGAGTGTGGGAAATGTTTTTTAAAGAAGTCCATTCTTCATAAACATCAGAGATTTCACACGGGGGAGAAGCCGTATTCCTGTCCTGAGTGCGGGAAATGTTTTTCAGATAAGTCCTATCTTTACAGACATCAGAGATGTCACACAGGGGAGAAGCCGTATGCCTGTTCTGAGTGTGGGAAATGTTTTTCAGACAAGTCTACTCTTCACACACATCAGAGATCTCACACAGGGGAGAATCCGTATTCCTGTCCACAGTGCGAGAAATGTTTTTCAGTGAAGTCCCGTCTTCTCACACATCAGAGATCTCACAAAGTGGAGAAGCCGTATTCCTGTCCTGAGTGCGGGAAATGTTTTTCATACAAGTCTAGTCTTCACACACATCAGAGACTGCACACGGGGGAGAAGCCTTATTCCTGTCCTGTGTGCGGGAAATGTTTTTCACAAAAGACCAGTCTTCACACACATCAGAGACTGCACACGGGGGAGAAGCCTTATTCCTGTCCTGAGTGTGGGAAATGTTTTTCACTGAAGTCTGATGTTTACAGACATCAGAAATCTCACACTGGGGAGAAGCCGTATTCCTGTTCTGAGTGTGGGAAATGTTTTTCATACAAGTCTAGTCTTCACACACATCAGAGATCTCACACGGGGGAGAAGCCGTATTCCTGTCCTGTGTGCGGGAAATGTTTTTCACAAAAGTCCAGTCTTCACACACATCAGAGACTGCACACGGGGGAGAAGCCGTATTCCTGTCCTGAGTGTGGGAAATGTTTTTCATACAAGGCTGGTCTTCACACACATCAGAGATCTCTGGGGGGAGAAGCCGTATTCTGTCACGGGAAATGTTTTTCACAGTCTTCACACACATCAGAGACTGCACACGGGGGAGAAGCCGGTCCTGAGTGTGGGAAATGAAGTGTAGTCCACACACATCAGAGATTCACACGTCCTGTGTGCAGGAAATGTTTTTCAAAGATGTCCATTCTTCATAAACATCAGAGATCTCACACTGGGGAGAAGCCGTATTCCTGTCCTGAGTGCGGGAAATGTTTTTCACAGACGTCCCATCTTTACAGACATCAGAGATCTCACACAGGGGAGAAGCCACTTTCCTGTCCTGAGTGAGGGAATGTTCCTCACTGACTGAAGTCCTGTCTTCCTGTACATCAGGGGTCCCCACACAACCCTGGAGGTGTATTAGTGCCTTGAGTGTGGGAAATGTCTTCTAGATGAATGTTGCTGGACATCCCAGCTCTCATGTGGGGAAGAAGCACACCCTGATATACACCTCAGATATACTCCATGGCTGATCTTCACCATGGAAGAAACAGTCCATAAGGATGATGAGAGGTCCCCAAAGACATGGATGAAGTGTGGGACCGGGTCAGACATTTTTTGGTGTAATCTTTCACAAATTCTTAGAGGTCTATGTTTATAAAATGAGTGGAATAAATATGAAATGTGTTTGATCAGCCATGAGAGATATTGTCTGTATTTTATTTCATATAGTGGTTTCCTATGACCATCTAGTGCAGGGCTGTCAGACTCTGTCACTGTGGGCAACACCAGCAATATGGGGGCCCTCAAAGGGCCGGCTGTGTCTGGAAGACGATAGAAATGTCTCTTCTCTTTCTCATATGAAACATTTCCCTCTGCATTCCATTATCACTGGGTTAGTAAGAGGTCAGAACTCGCTCTGAGAGTAGAAGTCTAGGACACATCATGGCAGCAGATATTCCCGGCTACAACTATCTACAATTTATGGAAAATGAGTTTTGGGAACAAAGTTGTGTTTTTCAATCATCAGACAAATATTTCCAATTGTGCTGCTGCTGCTGGGAAGAAGCTGGGGAAGGGCTGGGAAGCAGAAAGTGCAGGGTCTGGAGGAGGACTGGAATCAGCTGCCAGAGTCTGGATGCTGAGGCCAGGGGAGACAGAGATGGGGGTGTGCTGTGGCTGGAACAGAAGCACAGGATCTGGTGGAGGAGTGCTGTCCTCCTCTCTGCTACTGACTGCTGGGATGAGGAGTAGCAGAGATGGGCCTCCTCAGCTGCACAGAGAAGCACAGGATCTGGTGGAGGAGTTCTGTCCTCCTCTCTGCCGCCGACTGCTGGGATGAGGAGTGCAGAGGAGTAGCAGAGAGCCTCTCCACAGCTGCACAAAGAAGTGAGGATCTGGTGGAGGAGTTCTGTCCTCCTCAGCTGCCACATGAGGAGTAAGAGATGCCTCTCCACAGCTGCACAAAGAAGTGCAGGATCTGGTGGAGGAGTTCTGTCCTCCTCTCTGCTGCCAACTGCTGGGATGAGGAGTAGCAGAGATGAGCCTCTCCACAGCTGCACAAAGAAGTGCAGGATCTGGTGGAGGAGTTCTGTCCTCTCTGCTGCCAACTGCTGGGACGGGGAGTAGCAGAGATGAGCCTCTCCACAGCTGCACAAAGAAGTGCAGGATCTGGTGGAGGAGTTCTGTCCTCCTCTCTGCTGCCAACTGCTGGGACGGGGGAGTAGCAGAGATGAGCCTCTCCACAGCTGCACAAAGAAGTGCAGGATCTGGTGGAGGAGGTGGAGAGTTCTGTCCTCTCTGCTGCTGACTGCTAAAACAAGGTGCTTGAGAGCCTGAATATCCGAGATTTTCCTTTCTGGGCCTATCTGCAGATAAGACACTTTCTGCTCTCACACAAACCGTTTCTTGACTGGACTCGTCCCCTCACTCCTTCTGAATCTCTATGCTCTAAAGCTGAACCACACAAACATTTGATTTCGGAGATTTACCCCCTCCTCGTTGAGAGCAGGGCTTACGACTCCTTACCCTCCTGCCGGGCATGGAACAGAGACCTGGAAGACAGTCGGACTCCAACTGGGACCAAATATTCATGCATGCCCATAAGTGCTCCCTAATGTCTTGACTCAGGAAAACGGCTACAAATTGGCTTTGAGATGGTACCGAACCCCCGTTGAGAATCTCTCATTTCAACCCAGCTTTCCCCAATAGCTGTTGGAGATGTGGAACATCAGATGGGTCCTTTCTCCACATTTGGTGGTCCTGTCCGAGTATCCAACCATTCTGGCAGGAGGTCCACAGGCTTGTAGTGTCTGTAACCACCTTGCCCCTAGCTCTGTCTCCTGCCCAGTTTCTTCTCCATCATTCCCCCCTTCCCAGGGGACAAGACTTCAAATCCCTAGCCATGAATATGGTCAACGCAGCCAGACTCTGTCTTCCAGCTCTTTGGGGCTCCACTCGCCCTCCCTCCATACGTGACTGGCTGACCCGGGTGAGTAAAATTGTGGAAATGGAGGAACTGATTGCAACTGCACTTGACTCCCCCACTAAATTGTCCCACATCTGGGCCTGCTGGACTCATTTTACAACTACCCCTACATACCAGTCCCTCATGGACCGACCCACCTGATTTATCCATTTCAATACCGGGCAATTTTCCCCCTTCCTGCCCCCAGGCCATTTTTCAGGTTTCAGCGCTCTCACACTTTGAATGACAATTGCGCGGTCATACAACATTGTACCCAAACTAACATTTTATCGTTTTCTTCACACAACTAGAGCTTTCTTTTGGTGGTATTTAATCACCGCTGGGGTTTTTATTTTTTGCTAAATTAACAAAAAAAGACCAAACATTTTGAAAAAAAACAATGTTTTTCTTTGCTTCTGTTATAAACGTTTACAAATAAATAATTGTTCTTCATAAATTAGGCCGAGATGTATTCTGCTACATGTCTTTGGTGAAAAACAACCCAAATTAGGATGTGTATTATTTAGTTTGTAGGAAAGTTATAGAGTTCACAAACTATGGTATAGATCTGAATATTGATCAATCCCTGAAGTACTGACAGCCAATCTCATTTCTTGAGGTCCAAAGATGTCAGAACAGTACAGATATCCCCCAAATGTCAGGACGGTACAGATATCCCCCAAATGTCAGGACAGTACAGATATCCCCCAAATGTCAGGACGGTACAGATATCCCCCAAATGTCAGGACAGTACAAATATCCCCCAAATGTCAGAACTACAGATATCCCCCAAATGTCAGGACAGTACAGATATCCCCCAAATGTCAGGACAGTACAGATATCCCCCAAATGTCAGGACAGTACAGATATCCCCCAAATGTCAGAACGAGTACAGATATCCCCCAAATGTCAGAATAGTACAGATATCCCCAAATAGATGACAGATATCCCCTTTTTTTGCAGAGTAGACAGTCCGACGTACTTCATAAGAGGCATGGCGAGTTTTTTGAAGTTGTATTTTTTTGTCATAATTTTTCGTAAAATTAAAAAAATAAAAAAATTATCTTCACTATTTTTTTTTTACATACTGTCACCAGTGCAGTACAGCATCATCATATAACTGGCATGGCGGTGATCAGGGACACTGACTGGTGACAGTATGAAAAAAATATATATATACTGTATATATATTTTTTTTTTTTTTTTTATTATTTTTAATTTTTTATTAATTTTTTTTTTTTTTTTTCATATTTTACTATGACCAAAGTAGTACAATGTTACCATAGTAACCATTGGGGAAGTGATCAGTATTTTTTTTTTTTTTTTTTTACACAATTTTCTTATAGCAAAGAATTACTTTGCTATAACAAGCATTTACCTTCAATGAAATCGATTCATTCAGGTTTTTTTTTTTTGTGCTTAGCTGTGATTTGGTCACAGCTAATCACATGACATGTGCATGTGATTAGCTGTGATCATTCACAGCTAGGCACTAGTATACAATGGATGGCATGAATGAAGCCATCCATTGTATACAACTGTCATGTGACCTGCTGTGATTGGTCACAGCAGGTCACATGGTACCAGCAACAGGGGGCCGGTACTCGGATCTGTCATTGGCCGTGTCCAAAGTAAACGGCCGGTGACAGATCGCACCGCTGCGCGGCTCTGCAGGAGCGCAAACTGCGCATGTGCGGGAGTACGCCAAATGGCGTGCACCTGGAATGCCGAAGCGCTTTTGCAGACGCCAAACGGCCATTGGCGGGGCGGCAAATGGGTAACCTAGCTCTCTGGTGGGTGCTGCTCCATTACACTAGACCATATGGTAGGCAACGTCCTCCCCTTCAGGGTTTTACCCCCATCCATCTGCTCTGGTTGATAGACTAATCCTTAAATCCACCCACGTAAGACCCTTGGTATTGTGGATAATAGAAATTCCGCTCATTCCCCCCCCCCCCCCCTTTTTTTTTCTTTCTCTCCTCCCTCTTTTTTTTTTTTTTCTTTCTCTCCCCCCTCTTTTCTTTCTCTCCCCCCTCTTTTTCTCTTCTTTCCTCCTTGTCACATGCCCAGTTAGCTACTAGTTACCTCTTTAGAGAACATTAGGCATGTGAATATCATACTCTCTCTATTTACATCAGCGACCTTCACGATGATTTCCGCTAGCCTGCAGGCACTTTCATTCCCGTATGACTCTCGCCTCGTCTCCAACATTTGTGCCGCATCTTCCCTCCCTTTGTAGCTCCGCAGTGAGAATTTTTAACAATGAAAACCAGCGCAAACCCACATGGTCAATTACATTACTCAGCTTTAAAAAAAACATTACTGTGCTGATAAAGATATATATAATAAATTATATATAAATAAATTATTATAAAAAAATAAAAACATTAAAATCATAAGTCCAGTGACAAAAAAATAAAGTGACAAAAAAATCCCAAAAAATATATATATATAATTACAGTCCCGTGACAAAAATAAATCAAATTAAATTATAATTTTCATTAGGTTCTTCCGTGTTACTGATCCCTTCACCATCCACCAGTGCAGAAATCAACATTAGCCGCACTCACCAGATATTGGTGAGTCACACACCTTTCAGGATTATTAAGGGCTCCTGGACCCCCTTTACTTTTTGTGAGACCTCCAAGTGCTGTTTCCTCTTATGTCTAGGTACCTCTTCTGCTTACTCCTCTCACCGAATCCCCCAAGGAAAATCAGGAAGAAGAAAAGACCATAGCGTGATACCGTAGTAATTTCTCCTCAAAATAATCTCTCCAGACCACTCACATTCTTTTGCGGGATATAGCCCGCCTTTTATTCAAAACAACAGTGATTTTCTTCCAAAATGATCCACTTTTCATGTACACCAATTTTTGTAAGAGACCCCACAGTTTAGTGTGCAGCAGGATGGCAGACCTCAGCTACAGACTCATCTACTAAACTAAGATGGCCCCTTGGAACGCACCGCTCGGCGTGCGCTCCACTCACCGGAAATGACGTCAGACGACGGACCAGGCAACCGGAAGTGCGTCAACGCGTTTCGCCCCACCCACAGGGCGTTATCAAGACGCTTATTACCACTTCCAAGCCGCTTATAAAGCTTTGGGAGATCCCTCCCACTGATTACTCTGGACACAAAAACCTGGATACAAGCATGTCAATCACCGCCATCCATCTGCACACCCATGTGGGGTCCCTTTACATCAGAAACCATTACAATAAATACATTACTTAAAAAACATAATTTTAATCCTAAGTCTTCAACCCCAAACACAAGGGAAAAAGACCAATAAAAATAAATGTGAATGAAAATAAAAATAAAAATAAATATAAATCAAAATAAAATGAAATAAAATAAAAATAAATAAAAATAAAAATAAATAAAAATCAAAATCAAATTAAAAATAAAAATAAAATAAAATAAAAATAATAAAAATAGAAATAAAAATAAAAATAAAATTAAAATAAATATAAATAAAATTAAAATTAAAATAAAATAAAAACACCTATTCATGAACACGCACTACGGACCTATAACTGGATATTACCAATTCGACAAGAAACAATTTATATCAATATCTACATTCAACCCATTAGGATACAATGTACCCATTTGATAAATCCACTTCGTTTCATTTTGGGACACATTTATTACCATATTACCTCCTCTCCAGGGGGCTTCTACTCTATCTATCCCACAAAATTTCAACGATGCCAGATCTCTGTTATGATACCTTCTAAAATTATATGATAAACTATGATGTTTTAATCCCTTCTTTATGTTCCTAATATGTTCTCCCTCCCACACTTCATCCATGTCTTTGGGGGCCTCTCATCTCCTTATGGACTGTTTCTTCCATGATGAAGATCAGCCATGGAGTATATCTGAGGTGTATATCAGGGTGTGCTTCTTCCCCACATGAGAGCTGGGATGTCCAGCAACATTCATCTAGAAGACATTTCCCGCACTCAAGGCACTAATACACCTCCAGGGTTGTGTGGGACCCCTGATGTACAGGAAGACAGGACTTCAGTGAGGAACATTTCCCTCACTCAGGACAGGAAATTTGCGTCTCCTCTGTGTGAGATCTCTGATGTCTGGAAAGACTGGTCTTCTGTGAAAAACATTTCCCGCACTCAGGACAGAAATACGGCTTCTCTCCCCCGTGTGAGATCTCTGATGTGTGTAAAGATTTGACTTAATTGAAAAAACATTTCCCACAACATCAGGACAGGAATACGGCTTCTCCCCCGTGTGAGTTCTCTGATGTCTGGCAAGTTCTGATTTTTGTACAAAACATTTTCCACACTCATAACAAGAATATGGTTTCTCCCCCGTGTGAGATCTCTGATGTATGATGAAGATTGGACTTCTGCGCAAAACATTTACCGCACTCAAGACAGGAATATGGCTTCTCCCCCATGTGAGATCTCTGATGTCTGTAAAGAGTGGACATCTGGGAAAAACATTTCCCGCACTCAGGACAGGAATATGGCTTCTCACCTGTATGCAGAAACCGATGTATTTCAAAGATTGGACTTTTGTGAAAAACATTTCCCGCACTCAGGACACGAAAATGGCTTCTCACCTATGTGAGTCCTTTTATGCACATAAAGACCCGATTTAAAATGGAAACATTTCCCACACTCTGGACAGGAATGTGGTTTTTCCCCTGTGTGAGATCTTTTATGTACGTTAAGATGGGATTTAAAATGGAAACCCTTCCCGCACTCAGTACAGGGAAACCTCTTCTCTGTTGGAAGGCCGGGCCCGGTCCCGCACAGTCTGAGGTTCCTCAGGATACGAGGAATCCGATGGTCCATCTACACTGGGTGGTGCCGGATGGACATTGGAGGGAGCCGGGTTTTCTCCTGGACTATACTGTGTGATGTCCTCATCTTCTACTTTCTTTCCAGTCTGGAGACAAAGTGAGACAATCCTCGGAGGTTTTCCTCATCTCCCGGCCATGGACTAAAATACAAAGACAAAGAGGATTACTAGACAGGAGCTGATTGGTTCCCCCAAACCAGGACTCCGCCCACATCAGGCAGCTTGGTCTCTGAGGAGCTTACAATTCCACCCTCAAGGGAACTAGGAAATGGCTCCTCTGACCTCCTACCAGGTCATTTCCTTTATTCATGGACCTTAGTCAGAGAGTGAGGAAACAACCAGAACTGATACATAAATTGTGTCTGCAGCACAGAGAGAGGAAGATTATCCGAGAGAAATCCAGGAATACAGGACGGGGAACACAGCTCAGGAAAGTGACCAGGGGATTACAGGCTGATATCACCCAGTCCCCGCCCTACTCTGGACCAATCAGTGAGCAGTATGGGTGGAGGAATGGATTTAGTGTTCATGACCCACCTGTGCTGATCTCTGTAGGAGTGTCCTCCTCTATAAATGTCCCCGTTATTCCATCCTCCTCCATAGACTGCTGATCATCCCTCACATACGCCTCTTCTTCTTCTGCTTTCACCTCAAATTCTATATCGATTGGATCTCCACTCTAAATCAAGGAAATGAGAAGAATATCATCACAAAAAAAGCTTCACACATCAAAAATCCCCATACAAGTCCATGTTCTAGATGCTCCATCCCACCAACCTTGTAATAGTGAGGGATGGTGTGACCTTCCTGTGTGGAATCCCGGGAATACAGAGGACGGGGACATCTCTCTGGTGGGTTCCTGGTATTAGGTGGCTCCATCATATCCTTGTGTCCTTCTGAAAACTCCTCCATCACTCCATACTCCTCATCCTCCTCTTTATACTCTTCTTTAACATCAATATTATCATCCCCGAGGATTCCACTCTGAAAGATATAATAAAACATTCATTGTAACAAACATGCTGTGTATAAATCACAACTACCAATAATTGTCATCATCTACCTGATGATGGTGAGGGATGGTGTGACCTTCCTGTGTGGAATCCCGGGAATACAGAGGACGGGGACATCTCTCTGGTGGGTTCCCATGACTGGATCCATCTGTAGGAAACACACACACTGACTGAATCCATTGTTTCTATGTGTTTATCAGATGATGGGGGATCTAGGTGGATCCTCCGTACTGCTCTCTCCTTTACAATAAAGTCTCCTCTTACCCGGTGATGTGAGGGGCGGCTGATTGTCCATCATGACGTCCTTGTAGAGATCCTTGTGTCCTTCTAAATACTCCCACTCCTCCATGGAGAAATAGACAGTGACACCCTGACACCTTATAGGAACCTGACACACACAATGATACAGTCACCATCCAGACACATCCCTTGTCTGTTACTGGAGAATGTCCCAGAATTCCCGGCACCGCTCACCTCTCCTGTCAGCAGCTCAGTGATCTCTCTGGTGACTTCTAGAATCTTCTTCTTCTTCTTTCTCTCTTCTATCAGGGAGGGAGGTGGAGGCAATGTGATGTCATATGATCTCCAGACTTCACAGGAGGAAAACTCTACATCTGAACACAAATAGTCACATCAAATGATATTACCCAGAATCCTCCTCACCTCTCCATTCAGGTCTCCATTTTATTAAAGCCCCACTTCCCAGAATCCACCTCACCTCTCCAGGTCAGGTCTGTTTTCGTGAAGCCCCACTTCAGGCTGAGGTATAAAGAATTCTGACATCATTACATAAAATGAAGGAGCAACAGTTCTGCTTTAGTTGTGAGGATGTAAAGGGTCCGCCCATATCCTAAGAGCACTGAAAAAAGAAAAAAGAGCTGGATGGAGGGACATTGGGGGAGGAGCTGTGAGGTCAGTGTGATGTCATAGGATTCTCTGACTCTGGATGGAGGGACATTGGGGGAGGAGCTGTGAGGTCAGTGTGATGTCATAGGATTCTCTGACTCTGGATGGAGGGACATTGGGAGGAGGAGCTGTGAGGTCAGTGTGATGTCATAGGATTCTCTGACTCTGGATGGAGGGATATTGGGAGTAATGACTAAGCCTGTATTGGTGTGACGCGTCTTCTGTTCCTCTGTCCTGTCCTGGAGCTGTCATGTTATTACTACATTGTGTGTAAAGGATTCCAATAAAGGATTATCCCCTACATCGCTGCTTGTGCGGCCAACCGCCTTGTCTTCATACTGCCCCTGTGACCACGGATCGGGCCGGCACCTACGTGTCTGTGGAGGGGTCATACACATTCCACACTCACTTAGAGACGTCTTTTTGTTTTTCCTGTAAGTCAGCTTTGGGAGCAAAATATATTATCATCAACTCCTCCCCCTGAAGGGGTTCATCTACGTATTACCTCCTCTGCTGCCAGATCCAACAATGTCTCCTCTCTGCTTCCTCATTCATAGAACTTCCTGTCTGTACCTTACATCACTTCCTGTCTTTACCCGACATCACTTCCTGTCTGTATTCCATAGAGAGAGAGTGAGATCCTCACCTTGTGGAGCTCAGAGAGGTCCAAAATCCCTCCCCTGAGCAGTCATATATTTCTGTCCCCCTTGGTGGGAGTGGAGGTGACCCCTCTATAAGGATCTACAGTCCATACACACCCAGCACAAGGCCGGGGTCACACTACCAGACGCTTCTCGGGGCTGCAGTTCCTCTGAGCTCCACAAGGTGGGGATCTCACTTCTACCCAGACAGGAAGTCTCTATGGAAGACAAGCAGGAAGTGATGTCAGGTACAGACAGGAAGTAGAGAGGAGCCATTGGTGGAAGTGGCAGCAGAGGAGGTAATAAGATGTTATGTTCTATTTACACCCAGTAACCCCCCATCATGTCCGTCCTGTTCCTCCATAGTTTTGTCTGTCCTGTTCCTCCATAGTCACGTCCGTCCGCTTCCTCCATAGTCATGTCCGTCCTCTCCCTCCATAGTCACGTCCGTCCTCTTCCTCCATAGTCACGTCCGCCCTCTTCCTCCATAGTCACATCCGTCCTCTTCCTCCATAGCCACGTCCGCCTTCTTCCTCCATAGTCATGTCCATCCTCTTCCTCTATAGTCATATCTGTCCTCTTCCTCCATAGTCATGTCCGTCCTCTTCCTCCATAGTCATGTCCGTCCTCTTCCTCCATAGTCATATCTGTCCTCTTCCTCCATAGTCATGTCTGTCCTCTTCCTCCATAGTCACTGTGACGTCTTTTATCTCCAGCAGATGATGATATACACATATATAGTGTGGGAACCCAGATTAACCCCTTCAGGGGCAGAACATTCTCCCACTTCCGGCATCAACAGCAAGGCTCCTACTTTCCATTCATCACACATCTGTATCAGAGGTTGGTCATCAGCTCTGAGGAAAGGGATTCGTCCCTGAAATGTGTCAGCCATTTGACCGCACTGACAGTGAGAACACCTTGCCTGCCGTTGTGGCCATTGTCATTTTTCTATGCTTTTTAGATACATGCTTCGTCTGTGAGTATGTTTTTATTATTCTTTCACTCCTTACAATAAACCTTGGATAATGCACTAGGTGTGTGCGCACCTGTTTATTCTCTATACAGATGTGTAAGTGTTAAAAGTTGCTGGCAGGCTGGAGCAGCAGGAGGCCCAGCACTACAAAGCCCCCCCATAGGGACAGCAGACACTCTGTCCCAAGGCCTCTGTAAAATATCACACCTCCTAATCAAGATAAGATTTCATGTCATGGATTATGACAGATGTTGGTTCTAATTCAGAGTTCGCCCGACTGACCCCTCCCAAAACAGCGTATTGGCCAGTATTCAGAGCCACCCCCCCTGCAGGGGGACTTTAAAAGACAGGCAGCCAAGCCTAAAAAGTCAAGCTAAGCACATCTCCCAATTTTAACATCAATATACCACCTGGGGAGACCCTTTCACTCTGCAACTTGGATCTGCTTACAAACCAAGGCGTACTGGCAAGTAACTTAACCTTTTAACTTCCTTCCTATTATCTCTTTGCTATATCTTTATATACATATATATATATCTTAGTGACATCTCTTTGTAAATATTTTATTGCACCTGTTTGACTCTTTTATTAATAAATCTTTCTTTCTGAAAGTGTTAAACTGTTTTTAAGCGCTTACTTGCAATTCACGAATCCCTGCCTTTGAAGAGATGCTACTGTTTGTTATAGTCTCTGTATGACAGGCCTGCGGACCGTGTTATACAGATCAATATTTTCAATCATTATAGTGTATTGTTGATAAAGTTTCCTTCTTCTCTGACAAAAGAAGGTGGTGGCAGTAAAGGGTTAGTTGCGTAACTAACCCGACCCAGTAACAAGCGCATTCAGGCTGCAGGCACCGATTGTAGTCCATTAGCTGGGCAATCGCTGTGTAGGGTGCAGCTGGGTGTGGCCTTGTTACGCACGTCACACCGCGGTTTTAGATCAGCCAGTCCTTCGGTCACGAGTTTGGTGAGAAGGTCTGGGGTCTGACGCCATGGGTGTGATGTATTATTGGTCGCAGTCGTGCGATTGACACATGTTGGTGGCGGCGATCCGGTGATCGTGACATATTGGCTGGCAGCGTACGTGGGATAATTGCATTAAGAGTTTCAGTGCAGTGTTAAAAATTGGCTCTGCACTGAAGGATTGTAACCTTTGTGGAAACAGTCCTTAGAAACAAGCGGTGCATATTTGTTATATATATAGAGAGAGAGAGAGAGAGAGACATATAGCAACAGCTCCTTCCTTCTCCTACTTTTCCCTTCTATCTTTGCTTGCAAGTTTGCCTGGTGCAGCAGATTACAAGAAAATGAGCAAAGGTGAATTGAGTGCGGAATGTACCTCACGAGGATTGGACGTCGGTCACAAAAATCGTGAAGATTTGATTAGTGATCTAGTGGAGTATGATATCCAAGCAGATCAGAACTCGGGGGAACTTGAACATGGAGGGGTTCCCTTTACCCACATTGCCAGTGGCTCAGAGACTGCCTCACAGGATGGGCATACAGAGACTGACACTGGAAGATCACCAAAGGTTATCGTCACACCACCGCCTGAGCGTGCCAGCACTGTAGCACCTGTAACCAGCAGGGACTCTCCTCAGATGCAGGAAGCCCTGAAATGTGTTATGGAGATGGATCCTATGGCATACTTGCAGTTCCTTGAACACCAAGCAGCGGGCTGACAGAGAAGCTGCGGAACGCCAAGCTGAGAGAGAGCCGGTACAGAAGGAAGCTGATCGTCGGCACGAGCTGGAGATGGTAAGGCTCCAGCCACAGCGACCGGGTCAGAACCTCGGGTCCCTAGACCACAGGGACGCCACTCTTTCCGTGGGCGCAGCCAAGTTTCCAGTGATGGAAAAGGACAGTGACATTGACACATACTTACTGTCCTTTGAAAAAACGTGCCGTCAGTACCATGTGCTCCCAGCTCAATGGGCTCGGTACCTGACACCAGGGCTAAGAGGCAAGGCCCTGGATGCATTGAATTGGGACAAGATGATGATTATGAACTTTTAAAAGATGCCATCATCCGGAAGTATCAGATGACCCCGGAAGTGTACCGCAAGTGGTTCAGGTCCATGCAGAAGGGACCTGGGGACTCTTACACGGATGTGGCAAGTCGCTTACACACCACATTCCGACAGTGGACTAAGGGACTGAAAGCTGATTCCTATGAATCTTTGGAGGATCTCATGATACGAGATCAACTCTTGTACATTTGCCCAGCAGATGTCAGACAGTTTGTCTTGGAGAGGGAGCCAGCATCTACTAAAGCTGCAGCAGACCTGGCAGATACCTTTGTCCACAAGCGGGTGTCTGACCCTCGCAAGGCTCCTCCAAACAGCTGGAAAGGGGGGAAATCGTCCCTAGCAACCTCTCCTACTTTGGCAAGTCAAGCTTCTCCTCCGCTTACACCTGCAGTGCTTGGAGCCAAGCCATTCCTGCCTGACACCCGCAGATGTTTCACCTGTGGGAAAGCCGGACATCTCAGGACGCAGTGTCCTGAGCAGAAGCAGACGACATCATCTGGCCAACCGGCCAGCAACTCTTCTTCTGTGCTGTTCATTCGCAGGAAGATGCGGGTAACCCCTGCCAACTTGCAGCCCATTACCATGGGCAACCGGTCTGTAACTGGTTTCTGGGACACCGGGGCAGAAGTCACCTTGATCCGGCCAGAGCTGATTGAGCCAAGGAACCTCATCCCAGGAAAGTTCCTTACCCTCACAGGAGTTGGGGGGACCCGTTCACGCATACCCTGTGCAAAGGTATTCCTAGATTGGGGTGCGGGGAGGGGGAGGAGAGAGGTGGGGGTCTCAGCTGAACTGCCCACACCTGTTTTGTTGGGCGCTGACCTAGGCACTTTTGTTTCGTATTATGCCCCTGCCGTGAAGACCCGGAAGGGCCCCTGGAACTCTCTTGACAAGCCAATGTACTGTGGACAGATATTGGGGTAATGTCTGGGCCACCAGTGGATGGACAGAGGGAGGGGACTGGGAATGGTGTGGGGCTACAGGATTCTCCATTAGCTGGAGAACAAGAAGAAATCCCCTT